AAATAAATAAATAAATGGTGCTGGCAGGGCCCCTACTCATGTCAGAAGAACGGTGTGCAGATGTCTGAAAGCTGTACACTGTTCTGGGACTCTGATCAATTGTCAGGATCGAGGTAGCCAGATCACCTGACCCTCCACTCTAAAATTGGTGCTGTTGAATGCCAGGTCTGTATCCAATAAATCCCAGATTATTTACAATCTTATTCTGGAAGAGGATGCAGATCTGACTTGCATAACTGAGACTTGGATTAGTGGGGAAGGGGGTCCTCCCCTGGCCCTTGTCTGTCCTCCCAGTTATGCTGTCCAGCACCAAGGTAGACTGGAGGGACGGGGGGGAGTCGCCATTAGTGTGTATTCACAGAGGCCATGAAGGAGAACAAGAGTGTGTTGCCATAAGTATGCTGATGAGATACAACTCTATCGCTCCTTTATATCCTCTGCAATGGATGCTGTCTGGATGCTTGAGGGCTATCTGGCCTTGGTTCTGGAATGAACCAGGATCATCTGGAGATTTGGAGTGTGTTGCCATCAGTATGCTGATGTTATGCAACTCTGCCCCTCCTTTACATCCCTTAAATGTAAAGTGTTTGGGTGCTTGAGTGTTATCTGGCCTTGGTTCTGGAATAGACCAGGACTAACAGACTGAGACTGAACCTGAGAAGATGGAGATCCTTCTTCTGGAGGGCCCTGCTTGACAGGTTAGGGGGCTATTTCCCTAGGATGGATGGGATAACCCTTCCACTTAGGGATTAAGGTGTGTTTCTAAATACAGCTCTCTCACAGGATTCCCAGATTTCAGTTCATGGCCAGGTCAGTCTTCAATCAAGGCTGATTGCTCAGCTTCGCCCCTTCCTGAATGAGGGGGTCTTAAGGACATTGGTGTATATGCTAGTGATATCCAAGATTGACTACTGTAATGCTTTCTATGTGGGGCTTCCCTTGAGACCGAAACAGAAACTATATCAGGTGTAGAATGTGGCCACCAGGCTGATGTTGAGTGTGAGTAAATTTGATTACATCTCCCAAGAACATCAACTCGCCACACCAGATCATTGCAGGCCATGTTCCTTCAGGCTATAAGTTCTTGAATGTTTACAATGTATCTTAAAACATTATTTTTGATATTTTCTTGTATCTTTGCTCCTGTATTTTCAATTGAATTCTGACTTGAGTATTTGCTTCCAACTTAAATTAAGTTTTCATATATTCTGAAGCATTTGAGTTTTTCTCACAGCTCTTTTCAACACATTTAGGGATTTGCCAGAGGTTGGCAGTTCGATTCTCCACTGTGCCTCCTTGACAGGGGCCGGACTCAATGATCCATAGGGTCCCTTCCAGCTTTGCAGTCCTAAGATGTTGATTATCATGTTACTTTTGAAGTATTTTGTGCAGATTGAACATAGAAGCAATGTAGATAAATAAAGCTTGTAGAATTAGACAAGCTGATATTGCCTGAAATTATCACAACAGTGAAAAGACTTACACCTTGATACTCAGATGAGTGTTGATACAATTGTCACGATTTTATTTTATTCTGGAATTAACCCTTTATTGGGATAAATGTCAGTTATGCGTGACACAAACTTCTGTTTTTTCCTGGGAAGTCTATAAAGCACTGTAGGACAGCTAGGGAAGATCAAGTGCTAGTTTATCAAACTTGACAAAGCGCAGTATAAAAATGGCTAGATTAAGAACATGTATTAAAAAAAAAAGCCAAGCAATTTTTAATGCCCCAAGGAAACATATTTTACTGCTGTTTGGGTTATGTTTTTAATGTGATTTGAATCTGGCTATTTCTGTACTCTGTTTTTAAATGCACAGGAATAATTCTTACATGAGCAAGACTACTGAATCATCTTAGTATAGTCATTGCAAACCCAATTTAAATATATAAGCATGACAGCATAGATCTATAGACACAAGGAAGACATTTGTTTGCTGAATAAAAATTATTACGACCCATAAAGCACCGTAAGGTGTGTGTGTGTTTAGTCGTTTAGTCGTGTCCGACTCTTCGTGACCCCATGGACCAGAGCACGCCAGGCCCTCCTGTCTTCTACTGCCTCCCGGAGTTGTGTCAGGTTCATGTTGGTTGCTTCGCAGACACTGTCCAGCCATCTCATCCTCGGTCGTCCCCTTCGCCTCTTGCCATCACACTTTCCCAACATCAGGGTCTTTTCCAGGGAGTCTTTTCTTCTCATGAGATGGCCAAAGTACTGGAGCCTCAGCTTCAGGATCTGTCCTTCCAGTGAGCACTCAGGGGTGATTTCCTTTAGAACTGATAGGTTTGTTCTCCTTGCAGTCCAGGGGATTCTCAAGAGCCTCCTCCAGCACCACAATTCAAAGGCATCAATTCTTCGGCGGTCTGCTTTCTTTATGGTCCAGCTCTCACTTCCATACATCATGACAGGAAAAACCATAGCTTTGACTATTCGGACTTTTGTTGGCAAGGTGATGTCTCTGCTTTTCAAGATGCTGTCAAGATTTGTCATCGCTTTCCTCCCAAGAGGAAGGAATGTATGGATACCGTAGAGGAAGGAATGTATGGATACCGTAAGGTATGTATGGATAATAAAGCCAAGACTATTAAAATGCACGTTTCATAGATTTGCTTGATAAAAACAGGTAATAAGCACTCTGTGTTTAAGACAAATAATACTCAATTGAACAAAAATCAACAGGAAAACAATTTTTCCTTTTGAAACTAACAGAATAAATCTACAGAGCTCCATGAATGGACTATTCATTCCACAGAAGACAGGGCAACAGTCTGGGATGGTGAAATATAGGAATTAATCATTAATCTACCACATAGGTTGCAGAACTTCATGACTACAGGCCACACATGTTTCTGGCAAGGTTACTAGTTCTGCATTTAGTGAGAAACCAAGAACACACCACATGACCGCAGGATTAGAGTCTTTGCATATATGAGGGGACACAGAATGTCATAGCTAGAATAACGTTGTGCTTAACCCCAACCACTGTCTATGGAAAACTTTTGCTCCAGTGAAGTGGCATAATTTTTAATATGGCAGAGCTTCAGATTTCAAATAATATTTTGTTCATGGGCAGTAAGACACCTCATCACAGAAGGCCTCCAGCTGAAGGAAGTGTAAACAAGGACACCATCCCTGCTGAATCAAACATTCCCAGAATAGAAGGAAGATCTACCACCCCACTGAGCTGTGAAGCATCCATGACTCATATCTTGAAGACCTTTTATCCACAGGGGGACAGCTAAACACTGCCTAAATTGCAGACGTTTTATATGCAAAAGGAGAAATGCACTGTTTTCTCTATGAACATCTCCTTCCATTTCTAGGGCTATACTGGAACTGACAGAAAGAAGCAAGTCCAAACTAGGCCCACCCAGAAATGCTTCTGCCACCAGTGGAAGTCAGGGTTCTACTAAGGATTCTGTCACCTGCATTCACCCCATCCATTCAACCATTATTGGTCATTAGCTTAAATATCAGGCATGTGTCACATATCTCCACCTAAAGAAATGTGTGCAAGAGAAACTGACATGATTGCTAATGTTATTATGAGATGTGAAAAACAACCACAGCAAATGTTCATAAAGCAATATTTTTTTTTTGCAACTGATTCTCAGTAATGTCCAGGATCAGATTACCAAACTGTAATGTGAATTTCCATCTCTCATGTAGCTTCTCCCAGCTTCTTCCCCCTCTCTTGAAATCTGAAATGGTTCCCCTGCTTAAAACCATGTAATTTGCAGAGCTCTCTGAAGCTCAACATCAAAGGACTATGGCAAAACTCTTTAAAAATGCACAAACTGAGAAACAATATCATGATGCTACTTACCACTGTGAAATTCATTACTTTCAGTATCCATATCGTCATTGCTAAATTAACGATCATGGTAACCAATAGCAAGAGGACAAAGAAGTATAGGCACCTCTTTCGCCAGCCATAAATTCCTACTGGATAAAATGGAGGGTTTTCAGTTCTTGGCAGACTGTTTTGCTGTGTTGCCAATATGTACTGTTCCCGTGTCATCTATAAAAAACAAAGAAAAGATACAAACATTTATCTGAATAATCAAGTGTAGTATGATTGTACTAAAACAATCACCCCAGCTGTGACTAAGAAACTCCCTAAGTAAATATTCTCTTTTCCTCTCTCTCTCTCTCTCCCCTGAAACTACTTATTTACCTTAGAAACTTTATTTGTCTACAGAGGCTTTTTAAACACAGAAAACTCAGCTAAGAAGTAAACAACAAAACAGACTTTTTAAAATGATACGTAACATACATTATTTCAAAGAGTGAACATATATACCAACAATTATAGAAGTGCAGGTGAAACCAACACCATGCAAAACAGTATCAAAATGCCGGATATATATATTGCCATATGCCTCTTTGATACTGTTTTGCATGGTGTTGACTGCATAGTTGGTTGCACCTGCCTTTATTACCCTGCCTTTGTCTTTAAGAAGGACCCAAGGCTGCTTATATTGATAAATTACAAATTCATGTTTCATCCCTCATATTTCCCCAACTGGTTTTTTAAATGTTAAACTTTCAAACTGTCAGGAAATGCTTCTTATACTGACAGTGTGCCCATTTGCTACACATTGTAGAGGATTCTGGGATGTATTTTAGGTGCACATACGTTGCTAGAAGTATGACCAGTATTGAGTAGGATTTACCAGCATGTTGTACTTTCTAAACACAAAGAAAGAAAATATCCAAATGTGTTTCTTAAAGACTCTTATACAACACAATCTGAATCTCAAGTTTGATCAAGAGCAGAGAGTGCTGGTCTTATGGTTGGAGAAAGGAACTGTCTTTTTATTAGAATTATCACTCTAATACAGAATAAAGGTCTGAAATGCATTAGAATTCTGATATCTTCTTTCCCACCACTCTTGACTTTGTCCTTTTTAAAAAGTATCATCCATTTTTGTTGTCACTGCCCTTCCATTTCAAGTGCCTCTTCATATTTAATTAATGTCTCCACTTCTTTCTTGCAGGTCAGCTATTTTCAAAATGTTCCACTTTCATGAAGCATGTCCCATACTGAACTGGGACCTGCTGAACTACTGCAACAGCTGTACCTTGAAAAGGAAGACCAAAGATAGTGTGCAGGCTTATCATTCCAGGTCAATTTCTCATGATGTAATGGTTGGCAAAACTTTCAAAGAGTTCTGATGTTCCCTAGAATAAAGTTCATAACTCATCCCCTTATCCCACTATGCCATTCTTAATTACTTTCTGACACTGTTTCCCAAGACTCAAGGCAATTTATAACCAACACACTCAACTTGTCAAACCAATCAAATAATCAATACAATATGGACATTAAATTATATAACTCTTGCAGCTGAATAGTATCATTAAAAGCAGGCAGAAACAAGGATATAAGAATGTAACTAATACTTGTAATTTTTCTTGTCCTCAAAAAATGGGCTGTGAGATGTTTAATTCCTAAGCAAGAGGGAAAAGACCAGAACTTCTTTGTCCATAGCAGCATTAGCAAAAGGAGATCAACCAGTATTTACACAAAATTTGTGGTATTTCTGATAAATAAAAGGCTTTCTGCACAGATGATAGAATTTCTCTATTCGAAAATAGTTGTGTGAATTTTTCTGAAAAATGTACTGAAATGAGACAAATTCACAACCTCATAATCTCACCCATCAGGGAGAAAACGTCTGAAATATTTCGTTCCTGCTGATGACAAATAAGATGAACAAACCTTACATGCATCTGGAAGTCATACAACCTCTGGCAGACTTTAAAACAAAGCCACCCAATTGTGACCACACCTTTTATCTGTCTGTAAGAAGTGGGCTTTCAAAGGAGTCACAGCACTGGTCAACCTAGAGCAGATTGTTTATACCTAAGGTAGACAAAACCCAGAGTTCTGGAGGCTGAAAACTTCCATCTTGGGACCCTCAAAGGGCTGTACCCATTACCCCAAATTTTCCTACCAAAATAGATAGGGATTTTACTAAGAAAGTCCCTTTATGCCCCTTAGTGGCCAAATATATACAATTAAACAAATTTGGGGGTGAGAATAGCAGAGTTGCATGAGGATCCTCCAACACTGCAAAATAATAAGATTTCTTAAGAAGTTTTATGATTTCTCTTCCAAAACATGTTTTTATTTGGCGTTTGGCTAAACACATGCTTGACGTGCAAAACATCCCAGTTCTGGAGGTGGCCTAATTACTCACAATGTCTCAAAATTTATTGCTAAATATTAACCTACTGTATATTCTCCGCTTACAGTATTACAGCAGAAATTGTTTTAGGACATCACTCCTGTAATCCTAGGCACAGTTACATGGGACTCCTACCAAGTGCAGCAGGACTGACCCTCTAAAAGGACACAACAGGGTATACCATCTGAAAGATCATCGGATTTGATTTCCATTCCACCACCACCCCTCAATTCAGCAAGCATATCACAATACCATGCTACCTCCCAATTGCCATTAGCACACTTCTTCCTCTTCTATCATGGTTACAATTATAATTATACACTAAAAGTGTACGTGTGTGTGGGATCTGCATCTACCAGCACCACACTCCTAGAGTACAAAAGGGAAAGCTAGATTTAAAAAGACAATATAAGATGAATAAATGAAATCTTATCTCCTTCAAACTCCATAAGAACCAGCTCAGTTTGCGTATTACCATATATAACACTAATTAACCATATATAACACTAATTAAAACTTCTACATTGGCTTCCTGCAGAAAATAAATAATTTGCAAAATATGCTTTCAGCTTAAGTGGGGAAAAATGTCCTGTGTGCCTATGCAGATCAATTAAATACTCAGACATTTACTGAATATTTGACTACTTTTCCAACGTAGAGGTGCATCATGATCTACAGTGGTGCCTGGCAAGACAAATGCCTCACAGGACAAAAACACTCGCAAGACAAATGATTTTGGCAATGGGGGGGGTTGATGACTCGCAAGACAAATGTTCCTACGGCTGTGCTTTGCAAGACAAATGTTTTCCGTTTTTTGTTCCTACCTCATGTTTGCTGATTTTTAAATGTTTTTCTATGATGTTTAAAAAGTTAAAGTTTTTTGATTGAAATTTTTAAATCATCTGTACAATGTGTGTGGCTTTAAAGAGCACTTAATAAATCCTTTGTAAACCAAATTTGACTTTGTTCTGACTTTTTTTGCCCATGGGAACACATTAATTAGATTTCAATGCATTCCTATGGGAAAACACGTTTCACAAGATGAATTTTTCACAAGACAATATTAACCGTGGAACGAATTAAATTCATCTTGCGAGACACCACTGTATATAGTAATCCAGTTTTTTTTTGGTTGCATTCCTCTTCTACCTCTCACACTGACTGTAATGGGCCATAACATTAGGCCCTTTTCTCCTGTGTATGAGAAACCATACCTGCAAAGAGGTGCAAGGATTCAGTATCAATCCTTGATATTTAAGAATTAATCATTGAATTAATCATTGTGAGCCACATTCAGGTTTCTGTAGGTGTCATTCTTTCAAGTGGAACTCCCAGAATGGAGAATTATGGGATTTGTCATTCAGCAATTCAGAATAGCACATCCTGACCAGGAATGGAAAATATATTTGTTAAACTTTTTGTTCTGGTTAATCTAGAGAGCCATGACATGGCAAAACACCGAAGCAGACAATTTTGTTTTATCCAATGAAAGAATGACATACTGAGTGGTTTTTTTTCCTCTCATCAAAATTTTGTAATTTTAAGCAAAATACTTCTGGGTTACTCTACTCAAAAATCTAGCAGAAAATGTAGTATCATTTCCTTGGAGAAACAAAATAAACACATAGATACACAGTGAGCACAGAAAAACTGATTTTTTAAAAAATAAACCCAACCAGCGCTTCATTTATTTTAAGTCTACTGTATGAAACACAACAGCAGCTATCATAGTTTTTAACAATGTGTACAATTTACAGTACAATTTGCATAAAACCATCCAGTCGATGACACCAGAAAATATTTACTCTCATGCAGCTTTATGAAAAACCCCACCAACATTGCAATTCCTTATTCTTGGCTCATTTGAACAAGAGAGCAAGTATTTACTTCCCTAGTCATAACTGAACATGTACCCACACCACATTATTATAGCAATTTCATAGGACTTTTAACAGCCATGGCTCACTTCTAAGGAATCCTGGGAACTGTAGTTCTTGGTATACTTAGAATTCATTGCTGTGGTTCAGGAGAGTGTAAAGAGCTACTGTATCTCTCAGAGAATTCTAAGTATCTGATCATACAATTCCAAAGTACAGATCTGAACCATGGCAGTTAAAATGATATCTGACTGCTATAACTGTGTAGCATAGAAAGACCACTAGTAAATATTATTTATGCAGATGTCGTATGGCAAAAATGTCTGAAGGAAGGCTAGGCCAGTAAGCATACATTCAATCTTTCATGAATGCAAAAGGAGTACCAGCTAAAAATGTAAATAGACTGACTCCAGGGCACAGCTCTAATGTCAATCTGGAGGGTAATTAATATGCATAGACGCAAGTATTCAGAACAAACACCCTATTCCGAAAGGTGCCATCATTTATTCAACCCAAGAACAGGAGTGACCCATGTCACATCTTGAAGCTTTTAATTCTGCAGTTATTTAAACAATGAGACAACTTTGGAATGAAGGATTTTAAAATTGCAAACAGTGTTTAAACCTGATTATTGTAATGCACTTCTGCCCAGAGCCTTCATTCCATTCTGCAGTAATGAAGGCGCCAACTGGCTAGGTTTGCTTCTGCACTGAAAGTTTTTCTACCAGGCCAACATTGTTGGGTTTCCTGTGTATTGATACAGTTAGGGAGGTCTCAGCAACTGCATAGATGCTGAAACCAGTTATTGTTCCTATTTTATATTTTTAATGAATTGTGCAGTCAAGGTGCTGTAAAGATGCAGTAAATCAATCAATAAAAGAGATGGCCCTGGGGGAATTTAAAATGGGAATGAAAAGAGCATCATGTGTGATTAACAAGGGACTGGTGGT